CTGGGTAAGGCTGGGCTGCCCTGTGAGCCAATATCATATTAAAATTAATCCTGGCACTGCAGATTTGAACCCACAATCTTTAGATTTGCAAGAGGGTGTCTAGCCGCTATGCCTCTTCAGTTTCCAGCTATTTAGTGCTAGATCTATATTAAGCAGGATTTTTTGTTAAAGACTGAAAGATGCTATTGATAAAAAAGCTAAGAGATAAGCAGGCGGGTTTTTGGTCAGATTGGATCACATACGCATAATATAGCCAAGCACTGAAATCAAATTCACCACTCTACATTGGACTGAAAAAAGCTTCTAATACTAAGGAATCTTTCTAGAAATTAATGGACTATTACTGTGTCCTACCAGCAATTGTTAATTTATTAAAAAGCAAGGTATAAAGGCATGACATATCAAGTTCTTTATAAAGGAAAGCAAACAGATACATTTACAGCAAGAACAGGTGTGCAAAAGGGATTTCTATTACCTCTGTCTGTTGTTGGCAGTAGACTAGATTCTGAAGAGCGCAAGTGCTATACAAGGATAGGAACCCTACAAAACAACTTGCTGATCTGGTCTTTACTGGTGATATTTCTCTTCTGTCCCATTCACAGAATCAGATGTAAGATAAAAATACTTGATGTGAACTATGTCTAAAAATGAAAGGACAAATAATGAGAATAAATCAGGCAAAAAGTAATCTGGTGTTTCTTTATGGTATCACACTCCAATAAGTGGAGTCGTACACCTATCAGTACAGTAATGTAAATAAAGATTAAAGGGACTAATAAAGGTTAAAATACAAAAGACAAGATCAGCTTTTATACGGGAATTTATGGAGGTCAAAAGAAATTAAAACCAATACTAAACTTACTTTTGAATTCAAACGTACTGTTGTGCCCTCCCACTGTAGAGTTTCTAGAAATGAAAGTGGATAAAATAAAGGTAAGGAAGGGGCACAAGAACAGCATGACGTACCAGTCTCTTATCAACAGAAGAGAATTAGACGTACCAGTCTCTTATCAACAGAAGAGAATAATCAAATCAGTTATAAAGCTGTAAAAGACGATTACTATATAATGGACAAACCAGAGCAAGTCATTGTTCTAACCTTAAAACAGGACACAATCCACTGCACCAGCCACGTGGACTGGCACACAGACAACAGATCACATCTTCCGAGGCTCCCAAAATACATCAAGGCTAAACGTTATACGGGTTGCTGATTTTATTACAACAGTCAGGAAAGTTCACATTGTGAAGACAACACTGCAGATATAATCTATTTCAAGTGAATGAAAGACGTACCCTTGTATGGAACAGCTAAAACATTTACTAACAAACTACATTAACTGGTGCCTGAAGAGAACTGAGCAAATTAAACGCTATGCTTAAAATCACAAATTTTGAGCTTTTGCAAGAGAACTAAAGTTTTAATAGACCAAGAGGTGAAGACAACTTGGGTACTGGATAGAATACAAGTTGAAAAAACTGAGAATATAAATAGAATGTCTTTGCACAGAAACCCATAGGGGACATAAATAAAGGCAGACCTACAAAAGGAAGAACAGAGCTAGAGAGTAAAATTAAAAAGATTGGGTGAGCTGCATGAAATAGGGAATTATATAACCGCGTGAGTTGGTTGAGGGCCTATGCTCCATTAGGGTATATAAGGCACAAGAAATTTTTTTTTTTTTACAAAAGGTCGTAAAGGATGAACTGGAAGATAGTGAGTTGAATGGGATAGCCAAGGACAGGATTACGTACTTGGTTAAAGTTTGTAGGGGATAAATCCCAGAGGAAGAAAAGTAGGCTATCCTCCGAATAACGGGCACATATTATATCAGCCGCAAAAACACCCGCAGTCACATGGCAATTGTGCACTTCCGGCGACTTAAGTTTGCGGAATACCAGCGGCCACTACCGGGAGTATCCCCCACGCCGCTAACTCGGCGTGGATTGTGGCTAAACTAGATGGCTTTGTTCGTGAGTCTCAGGAATCTAGCCCCAATCCACGCCACATTAACGGTGTGGGGGATACCCTCGGCGGTGCCGGTAGTCCGCACATTAGGTTGCCGTAAGTTTGCAATTTACATGTGACCTGAGGCCCTGTTTTTAGCCGCCATAATATGTGATCGTTATTCGGAGGATTGCCGAAAAGTGTATCAGCTACACTTATTTCATAAACTAGCGATTTTAATAAAAATCACACCAAACAAAACTAGTGTGTAATTAACAGTTTATTCAAATAACATCTGAAAGCGTATAAGAACTTTCACAGGCAATAAACTAGAATTAAACTGCACTGTTTCGTTGCAACAATTACATATGCCAACACCTGTCTGCAGCATGTGGTTCTATGTCTGTGCAACAAGGCTTGTGTGTGTGCATCCTCAATTCACTTCTATCTCACACCCACTGACAACATTAACAAGGTTTTAGTTTTAAAAAAAAAAAAAACAGCTACCTAAGCAGAATGTACACACAGCCAACATTAACATGAAAGGTTTTTGTAAGTAGAGAACATTTAGCATTTTGCTCTTTAATTATTTACATTTTGTTTTTCAACAAACCGCCAAAACATTTCACTTTTAAAGCAAATCTGGACGCACTAGTGAGATATTCTTTTGTGAATTTAGTAAATGTTTATCCAAAAGAAAATTGCGGAAGATTGTCCCCTCCAGGATTGCAGTCTGTAACATTAACACGTCAAGGACAAGAATCCTACCAGTAAAATCCCAAAAAGCCTTGTTCAAAGTTATATGGCGTCTTCTTCCCCTCCTTCCCCCCCCCCCCCCCAATTAAAAAATAACCTTAAATGAGAAAACATTTGAAAGAACCGTGTAATTATCCGGTGGCACGTTGATGGGAAATTAGTACTCCTAAAAACTATCAATGACCCAGATGAAAAAGAATTGTCAACCAACTGGTTGAACCCTAAGGTATTCTTGACTGCAGTTGGAATTTTTTCTTTTTTTCCTTTTCTCCTGGAATGCGTCAGAGCAGTCAGATTTCTGACATTTGAACATGTAATTACATCAGCGACCAAAAACAAATCCATCAGGTTACTGAGGACACGAATCTAGATTGCCTGAACGAGAGCCCAGTGTTTTCCACTGCTTGGCCACCTATCCTTGGTACTGTTCTCCTGGTTAACAAATGTTTTAACATTATGTCGAGTGGCATAAAACAACCCCAAAGGTTTATTCTTGTATCATTTAGAAAAGTAAGGAATTAATCAGATGTCTCAAGCAAGCTGAATTAAACTGGGACTTGAAACATTTAAATATTATTTGAATAATCTCACTTCAAATACACTTTTTGTGAAAATAAAATTTCGCCTGTCAATATTTTTCAACAAATGCATATAAAAGGAACAAAATATATTGAAATACAGAACATGGAACACTGACATAAAAATGGTAATCAGGGAAACAAATATAATACTTAACATAACTAGTTATAATTTATTTACAAGTGATCCACGGGCCGCAAGTTGTCATGTCTGGTGACTGAATGATTGGCATTGCACGGAGAGCAAAATGTCATGTTTGGTGACTGACTGACTGCAAGAAGCTTTCTTTGGTTGTCAGAAATGCAAACATATTTACACAATAATAACTCAAACATGAGACATATATTAGTAGCAGCCAGTAAACAAACATAAAGGAAGCAAGAGAAATTAACAACATCAATTACAACAAAAGACTGATTAGATGAAAGGAGTTCCTCAGGGAGAAATGCACAGCAGGAATCTTCTGGATTCCACCATCATTGTATGTTTCGGCCCTTTTACCTTCCTCACACTCTGGTTCCATTCTCTTGTTGTGCAGATGAATCTTGCCAATAGTACAGAACATGGGTTTACAAATAGAAATATGAAGTGATTTTTAGCCAGGAGATGTTAGTCTAAGAGGAAATCAATCAGCTGATGGGGTGGGGGGCTGGAGCAGGCTGATGTAGTAACTGTCCTCAAAAAACCAGACAAATAAAATCCAAGAAGAACAAGACTAAAACATTCTTCTACAAAATACAAGCAACAACAAATGTATAAAGCTAGACTAGAAAATCAAATCGAAATTACTTTCAGCTTTTCCCCCCTCAAAACAGAGTGAGGGATCTAGGGAATTCACCTGACTGTCTGGGGATTTCATTCTCAGCTCACATTAAGTTAATGATATGTCACCCAACCATTTTAATACAGGTGATTAACATTGGGATGCATAAACAAAAATCATCCACCCCATGGACAGAATTATCTTTTGATCAACAGACAAAGAAGAGATTTTACATTGAATTAAACTTCAGAAGATGCCTTCCTCTCACTACTCCTGTTACACAGCAAACACACCTCATGTATCTTAGTTCACATTCTCAGCACTAATATTCTCTATATCCACTGTAATAGACTTTGGTGGCTTTCAGCGCAGCAGATTTCTCCTAAGAGGCGTGTAAAAGCTAATTTAACACACCACCCAGCAGATATTTCAGACAATCTTCTAGTTACCCTACCCTCAGTACCTCTATAACAGCAGTCCTGGGCACCAAAACATCTACAGTATATTGTTCCAAATGGTTTTGTCTTGGGGGGAGGGGGGGGGGGGATTTAAGGGATGCTCATCAAATATTACAAAAACAAAATGATGCAAGGAAGGGAGGGGCATGGAGGTAAAAATCACAAATGATATTAGAAATGTGAGTTCCAATAATGAAAACATGGACAGATGAGACTCTTTGATTGATGTGAGCAGACATGACTGATGCAGTAATCTCCAGTGTGTGCATGGTGTGTAATCAGTCTACAGGGGGGGGGGGGGGGGGGGGGTTAGGTGATGCTCATCAAATATTACAAAAACAAAATGATGCAAGGAAGGGAGGGGCATGGAGGTAAAAAGCACAAATGTATTAGAAATGTGAGTTTCCAATAATCATGGACAGATGAGACTCTTTGTTGATGTGAGCAGACATGACTGATGCAGTAATCTCCTATATGTGCATGGATGTGTATCAGTCTACAGGTCTGGAACTGAATGGTCCATCAACTTCTTGACTATGCTTGAACCCATGCTGAGAAAAAAGAAGAGAAAATGTATCTTAAAATATGTGAGTATGCACTTCTTCAGTACTTAACACACCACATTTCCTGGCTGCTCTAAAGGTGCTTTATCACAGAAAGTTGTTGCACTGGCTCATTCTATTCAACTGCTGCCCAACAGCTTGTGTCTCACGTCTCGATTTCAATTATTTCAGATGCAATCATTCAAAATGTTTTTCAGTAATGCCTTGGGAATGTATGAGTTACAATATAAAGTGAAGTTGAAAGAGTTAAACAGCAATCCAATTTATCAGCTGTCACCTCCTCCGGGTGGGTTTTTGACTTTTGGCAAAAAAAAAAGAACAGATTTACGGTCCCTCTAACAAGGATGTTGTAAATGGCAACACATCCCCCCCCCCCCCCTAATTGGAGTGCATCTGTCCGTGAGGTCAGGAACCAAAAGCCTAAATACAAGTAAGCCAGATTTGTAAAACGGATGTGCAGGCAAAAAGATTCTGTAGCATAATCTAGAAGTGGATGAACAATGAGATGTCTTGGATTATCCTCTGATGGTCAGCTGTGTGTCCACCTCTTATATCACTGTCCATCTCTTGCCCACCTGTCTTTGCAGTAGGTTTCTTAATGTGGCCACAGTGGTTCACTTTACTAATTTTTAAATTAATTTTCTTTTTAATGCCAGTTTTTCCAGAAACTATATCTGATTATTGTTGTTGCCAAGAAACACAGACTGCAGGTGGAGACTGTGCATTTATGGGAATGTCCCAAGTGCTATCATGATGGTGTTAACACAAATCCACAACATATTTTCTTACAATAAACATGTTTCCAGGGTCTTATTGCTTCGTTGGGATTGGTTTAATATGCTCAGGTTATCAGTTACATTGCCTCTATGATCCAACACATCAGCAGCATGTTGGGATTGGTTTAATATGCTCAGGTTATCAGTTACATTGCCTCTATGATCCAACACGTCAGCATCATGTTGGGATTGGTTTAATATGCTCAGGTTATCAGTTACATTGCCTCTATGATCCAACACATCAGCAGCATGTTGGGATTGGTTTAATATGCTCAGGTTATCAGTTACCTTGCCTCTATGATCCGACAGGTCAGCAGCATGCTAGGATTGGTTTAATATGCTCAGGTTATCAGTTACATTGCCTCTATGATCCAACACATCAGCAGCATGTTGGGATTGGTTTAATATGCTCAGGTTATCAGTTACCTTGCCTCTATGATCCGACAGGTCAGCAGCATGCTAGGATTGGTTTAATATGCTCAGGTTATCAGTTACATTGCCTCTATGATCCGACATGTCAGCAGCATGTTGGGATTGGTTTAATATGCTCAGGTTATCAGTTACCTTGCCTCTATGATCCGACATGTCAGCAGCATGTTGGGATTGGTTTAATATGCTCAGGTTATCAGTTACCTTGCCTCTATGATCCGACATGTCAGCAGCATGTTGGGATTGGTTTAATATGCTCAGGTTATCAGTTACCTTGCCTCTATGATCCGACAGGTCAGCAGCATGCTAGGATTGGTTTAATATGCTCAGGTTATCAGTTACTTTGCCTCTATGATCCGACAGGTCAGCAGCATGCTAGGATTGGTTTAATATGCTCAGGTTATCAGTTACGTTGCCTCTATGATCCGACAGGTCAGCAGCAAGTCTACAAAGGTTCCTTAAAGTTGTTTCTGAACGACTGTTCCCTCTGACTGTGTTTTCTCACAGGTTTTGTTGTATGTGTTCAGGTGTTCACAGCGTGGTCTGGCAGGAAGACTGGGTTGGATAGATTGTTCTAATTCGACCACCTGACTGTTTATTTTTCAGATTCCTGCCTCATATAAGAGTTGTAAACAAATATAAATCTGACAGTTATAAATTTGAAGGCACTGTCTCTCTCTCTCTCTCTCTCTCTGTGTGAATGGTAGTAAGAAACAAGGGGAAATTTTTACTGGAGAATGCCAAATGATGAAGTAAAGTAATTCCTGAATATGAGAAGTGTAGGGTTTGAGACAAATTGTGGACAACCTTTTTGAATTAAATACGGAAGAAGATAATGTTACAGTTTTGAGTCTACAGTGGCAATCTTAAAAAGGCCAGTGGCAGCAAACAATACAAGCTCTTACCATTTGATAATGTGATCATAAATAAAACATGGCATGATTGTCACTGTCAGCGTCTTGCCACAGGAATCAATGATTTCCCCAATTTCTTTGTCCTGTGGAAGATATAGTGTCAGTCATGAACACTGTACATGTAACAGTAATGACTCAAATATTGAAACAGCAAATGTAATAATGTGGCAAAGTTTGAAAACTTGTTTGGCTGGCCTTGGAATATGTCATGGTATCCTCTCAAATGTAAGCCTCCTGTTCTTCTGTGTTTGGCCTTAAAAGCCATGTTGCAACATGTACTATGATATCTACATCTTCTGACTTAACACATCAGAGTTCAACAAACCCCAAACTTTTACAGCATGCTTGTCAAGGGGCAGTAGGTCTATTCAAGGCAAACAGAAGATGAAGACAAAGAAAAGCCTGGTCTAAAAACATGTACATTCGTCTTCTCGTCATTGCTCTCTAATTTATAGACACATGAGTTCTTGTCACAAAACTGACTTTTTTTTTTTAAAGGAGGTCCCTTTAAGTTCTATACAATTTGTGAGTACAGTGTTGAATCATTAGGCCAGTACTCTCTTCTTAATGGACTGTACCAGTGACATTCTTGCAGGACATGGTCTGCAGACTGCCAACAATGGTGAACTGCTTAGATAAGGACTCTACATATACTGGTTAAGTTTGGGATGACTTGTCCTGAAGTACACACCCAAAAAAGAGGCCAAGTTGCAGATTTATCATGGTTATACATTTTCAGCGGATCCAACTTACATACATGATATTTGTCAACCATGGGAAAAAACTAACCTTTCATCTTTTATAGTAAATTATTACTCTGTGACAACTCTATACTAAACAGTAAGTCCTTGGAGAGGAATGTCAATGTTTAAGACGTGACAACTCTATACTAAACAGTAGGTCCTTGGAGAGAATTGTCAATGTTTAAGACGTGACAACTCTATACTAAACAGTATGTCCTTGGAGAGGAATTTCAATGTTTAAGACGTGACAACTCTATACTAAACAGTAGGTCCTTGGAGAGGAATGTCAATGTTTAAGACGTGACAACTCTACTAAACAGTAAGTCCTTGGAGAGGAATGTCAATGTTTAAGACGTGACAACTCTATACTAAACAGTAGGTCCTTGGAGAGGAATGTCAATGTTTAAGACGTATGAGCCAGAATGTTTAATGTTCACATCTTGTAGAGCATTCACATTTTCTTCTTCTTGGTAAATAATGTTGGCATCTTTCCAGACAGTGTTACATTTTGCTGTAGGGAGAGATAGGAATCAGTCAATGGTAAATGTCACTTGAAAGATCTGTTCATGTTTTCCAAGATCAATATTAAGGCGAGGGATGAAGTTATATGTAATGTTGTTCGTGATGAGGACCGCTCTTTCTTTCATCCGTTCATCCAAAACTATACAGTAGAGTTTCTGTGAGTCGGCAGGACAATGAGGGCAGGGAACAGTGTATGAGTCTTTCTAGTCTGTTAGCACTGCTCAGCTGCCCCTATTCTCAAAGCCTCGCAGGTCACTGTCCCTCTTTGGATAAACGTTCGCCAAGTAGTCCAGTCGCGTGCAGCAGCCTCCCAAGTGTCTGGGTCTATATTAAGGGCTTTAAGTGATGCCCTTAGCATGTCCTTGAAGCCCTATTTTCTGGCCAGCATTAGAGCTTCTACCTTCTTGTATCTCACCATACAAGTTTATATTTGGTAGCTGATGATTCTGACAAACAAAGAATGAAGGTGATCGGCTCATCAAATCTGTGACTGCATCAGGATAGTATCGATCCCAGCTCTATCTCATACGGCAGTATCTGGGACCCTGTCTTGCCACTCAATTTTCAGTTTTTTTTAAAAAGACAAACTGCATGGAAGTGAATACGTTTTTCTGCATGATATATGCATACAACCCATGTTTCAGCAGTAATGACAGCTCCGCAGCTGTGTATACCTTTAGTCTGGTTTGCAGACTGATACCACTTCGACTCCAGGCATTTGGTGTATATTCTGCCAAATGTGCAGCTGGTTTTAGAGATCCTGGTGTTGACCTCTTCATGTATGGACATAGGGTAATAACGCACATTATACACAGAACTAAGGTTGCAGGATACACAAGTTAGAATCCCTCTTTCTAATAATTTGTAATGACTGTGTGATAACTGACCTTCAAGCCGACGACATTTTGACCTCCCACTTCTATCAGCTGATGGTCTGTGAGAAGTCCGTTGCGTGCTGCAGACGAATCCTTCACTAACGTCTTGATACGTCCATTGTTGAATGTGAACCCCACAAAGCCATTACTGTCTTTCTGCATTGTGATTGTGCGCTCAAATGGCCTGCGAAAAACGACAATAAAGTATATAATAAAATATTGTTGATATATGATCAGTCTACAATTCTGATGTCCCAATGTTTAATTCTTATGTCAAATCAGTACTCTTGTGTGGCGCGGTGATTTATGTCACAGGCGTGAGGGGAAGTTAAGTCCAACATGATGTGTATAAGAAGATACTCCATACGTCACTCGGGCGCCAGTCCTTTAATATCCTGGTTGTATGGAACCTCACGCAAGACCCCAGCAGCACGTCCTCGTCGTGCGCCACGGATAATGTCTCAAATGAGCATTAACAGAGCTGCCAGGGGATCTCGGAGTTTGGCGGCCTCCAGAGGTGATGTGTCCTTGTGGCTCTCATCAGCCCGCCCCCAAACGCTTGGGTGAAAAAATTGTTATCAAAAATCATTAGGAACATGAGTAGGTCTGCCAAACGTACAGCCAAAATTACAACCCTTGGTTAAAAGACTGCGGAATAAAGAGAACATTGTTCACTGCACATCCTCTGTTAACCCTCAGTGTCGTCGTCACCGCGCTGGGGTACACCACAACAGAAACCATCCATAGGCTGGCCATTCATGTACATCCTCGGTTAACCCTCAGTGTCGTCGTCACCGCGCTGGGGTACACCACAACAGAAACCATCAATAGGCTGGCCATTCATGTACATCCTCGGTTAACCCTCAGTGTCGTCGTCACCGCGCTGTGGTACACCACAACAGCAACCATCCATCGATCGGATGGCTAAGCCTACATTTCGGACAAAACTAGATCATACGGATCAAAATCTGACCTCAAAATTTAAATTGAACTGAAAAAAGACCGAATGCCCACACCCAAAGACACCACTTGCCCGAGTGTTGGGACAAAACTGATAATGATATGCCTGATGCAGGATGTAAAATCTGTCGGGCTAACGGCTCGTCAAAGAAATCTAACGTGCGAAGAAAAAAGAATGTACCTATCTGTGTGGTTACAAAAGTCCAAAACACGCGGGCTGCTCCCCGCTGACCCCCAGAGGGCGCAGCCCCTGTCGAGCCGGAGGCCTGATACGGTTGTGAGGTTAAGCAGGCTTGTGCAGGACGTGACGATTCCTTGGGTGAGCCCAGAAACAGAGCGCCATGTGTCGGCTCTGCATACATGGATGCCTCCTTGGATGGCGGGGAATGCCCAAGATCTGCCCCTGCCTTCCCTTGAGGGCTAAACTGTTCCACAGGGGGGCCGACCCCAAAGGGTACTCCGGGGGCAATACCTGCGGCAAAGGAGACGAAGTGGACACCACACAAATCAGGCAACGTCTCGACCCACACAAAACAATGGCCACAGTCACCCTAGAAATAGGCCTGACGTCTTCCTTCGAAGTGAGGCAGGGAAATAAAAAACAGTTGTACACGCAAAAATCAGGTCCAGGTGAAAGCCAAAAGTCCAAGCGGACGATTACCTGACCTTCCACTGGAATTCACAGCCGGTGTTCGATGAAAAAAAAAAAAAGTACTCTTGTATGGGGCGGAAACATGGAGAACAACTAAGGCAATTACAATTAAACTACAAACATTCTTTGATCGGTACCTGCGCAGAATAGAGGTAATTAAATGGTATGATAGAATCACTAATGTAGAGCTTTGTGAGAGAACTTAACAAGTTCCGGTGGACCAAGAGGTGAGGAAAAGACGGTAGTAGTCAATATGACATGTTGAGAAAACCTTAGAACAATTTAACTGGAATATATTTACAGTCCCACAGAGGCATAGAAATCAAGGAAGACCACACAAAAAAAAATACATGGAAAAGGGAGAGTGAAGTTTAAAAGATGGTGTGGACATGCAGAGAGCTGCATGCGATAGCAAAGGACAGAACGACATGGTGTGAGTTTGCTGAGGGCCTATTCTTCATTGAGGGTTAGAAATGCAGAACAAGAAGATATTCATCAAGTGCTATCTTTGCAGTGAATGTTGACTGCAATGTGTCTCCAACATGTTTTCCTGCATCTCTGGAGTGATTTTATCCAGCTTCTTCCAGGAATCATCCAACTAGAAGTAATGTTGTCCTATTTCATGCAGCAATGTCTATACTTGATTTAATGACATGCTTGAACATATCTACATTCAGTAAAATAAAACTGTCATGCCAGGTTTGGCAATTCTGTGTGAAATCAGTACAAGAACCTAGCACTGCCCCTCAGCATGAAGAAGTCAGGATAACAGCTCGCACCAGAAACATCGGATTTCAACTAACTTCTAATTAGTTTCCTTTACTTTAACAATATGCTAAATTGGGCGGAGGTGGGTTCACACCTAGCGCCCCCCCCCCCCTTAAAAGAAGGAAACAGAAAACTAACTTCTTCTCTTCCACCTTGTACCTCATCGAAGTGTCGGGGGGAGATGTAATGTTCGTTGATGAGCTCTGTCAAGAGCACTATTAAGACTGATGTTCATTTCTGTAAGACTGTTCTTAATGCCATCACTCCAAATTTTCCGAGGTCTTCCACTCGCTTTATACTCGTAACGTTTTAGTGTGGCTCGCTGTGGTGGATAGCACCAGGCCATTCTTGTTAGGTGTCCAAACCACTTCATTTATTGTTCTTTGATGACCTGTAAGACTGGTTTTATTTATAGCATTCGTCTGATTTTATGATTTCGTATTCTGTCTTTTCTTGAAACTCCTGCAGCTCTTCTAAGGCATTTCATCTCTGTTGTCACAATTTTACGTTCATTGGAGGATGTAAGTGTCCACGTTTGGCATTGATAGCATAGTGTTGACCAAAAATAGCTCTGTTAAGATTCACTTTAGTACTCTGAGGTATCTGCTTGTGCGTCAACAGGGGAGATAGTTGACCCATTACTTGATAAGCTTTGGCACATCTGCAGCTAATTTCTCTGTCCAGTTTTCCATCGGATGTGAAAATTGCTCCCAAATACTTAAATTCCTCTGTTTATCTCAGGGTGTTGTTTTTTAATTTAATTTCTTAATTGTCTTTATGACTTCCTATCATCATTGTCTGTCTTCGTAGTGTTTATTTTCATATTATATTCCTCCCCTTTGTTACTAATTTGATTTAGGTGGTTCTGTAGGCATTCCTTATTTTCTGCTATGAGTACCTGGTTGTCGGCGAAGAGTAATTCTGTAATATCTTCTTTATGATTAAAGTTTGTTTCTCTACATATGGTATCCATGTATGTTATAAAAAGAAGCGGCGATAGTACACAGCCCTGACGCACACCAGAGTTCACTATAAAAGTTCTCGACAACCCTGCCTTTGATCTTATGCAGCATTTACTGTGTGTGTACAGGCTTTTGCAAATATTAATGAGCTGACTGCTGATTCCTTTCCCCCCCATACATTCCCACAACATATTCCTGTCGACTCTATCGAAGGCTTTTTCTTGGTCTATGAATGTCAACAAACTAACAACTTGGCTATTCTTCTAGCTATGATATGGTCATAAGTTCAACAAGAATCCTCAACCAAAATCACTGAATTACCTGTCTCGGATGGCCATTTCAATTCTCTGACCATCGGCTTTCTTGAGGAACTCATGGGCTTTGTCATTACTCCAACCGGCCACAGTGACTCCGTTTATTTGCAATATCTGGTCTCCAAACCTGAGCCCAGCCAAGGCAGCCGGAGAACCCGCCTGAACAAAGGCTACAAAAATCCCCTATGGAAAAAATAAAGGATAAAACATTTTACTTACTGTCTGGAGTGATTTATACATGTCTGTTACTATTGCTGACAAGCTTGTGTCTGAGTGATCATAATGTCAAAGATGGAGACAATGCTCTACATTAATGGGTAGATTTCTTTGCATTCCTTCTATCCAAGCCAACGCACGGTTTGTTATTAGTTACTACCCATGTGTATCACCACAACACACTGTGCGTTCTTCTTGTTTACCTGCTGTAAACTCTGATGCAAAGTTCTGGTTGTTCATCCATCTCCAGGTTCTAGTCTTGTTTCAGAACCTGAGTGTTGCATCACATCTTTTATTCAGACCTGACTTATTTGTATGCAGACTGTTGGTTCCTTGCCTCTTAGGCAGATGCACTCTGACTTTGAATGAAGACCTCAATTAGTCGATTCTTACAGAATGCTTTTTGGGTTTTGGGGTGGCAATGGGTCTATTCTTGCTTTCCCCACAAAGGGGTCCGGGAACCCACAGAGGGAACACTGTGTGTTTAATTGTTCATACCTGGTGTATGTGTGCTAGAGAAACTGGTTAATTTTTGACTATGCACCACAATGTATGCTGAGTCTTTGAAAGGGACACACTGAAGTAGTTATTGTGACAGACTGGGTTTCTGCTGTGAAATCCCCTGAAACTTAAAGAGTAATAGATAGCAGATAGCATTAAAACAAGGACACCTTACATAATATTTTACATCCCCCTGTGGGTTCTGGGGCCCTATTATAGAGAAAACAAGGATAGACCCACTGCCTACCCAAAAGCATGTAGTAAGAGTCGACTAATTGGAAGCTTCCTTCGGAGTGCATCTGCCTTAGAGGCAAGGAACCAAAAGTCTGCATATAAACTAGTCAGATCTGTCAAACGGATGCACACGCAACACTCAGGTTCTGGAACAGGACTGCAGTCCAGAAGTGAATGGACAAGCAGAACTTTCTGCTGGAGTTTACAGCTGATTAATGCGAAGAAGAAGAAAAAATATGTTACAACAGCAGGGGGCGTAGTCATTATATATTAGCACTTCGCTCATCATCTCATATACTGGGAGCCGCCATGGTGTAGTGGCTAGATCTGCGGATCAGAAGGTTGTGAATTCACAATTGAACAGAGGTGGACTTTGTCTAAATTGACAATGACTCCCAGATCGACCTAGCCTTAAACTAGTACCGGGTAGTAAAGTCTTGACCACATCAACCATAAGTGCCTACTGGTCAATAAAATACAGGTCTAGCTCTATTTGCCCAATACACCTGAAGGCGTGGACAAAGGTCTATCTCAGATATTAGCAAATAAAATTATAAACAAAATGTCATACATTGTGATTTTATAATTAAAGCTGTTGATATTAATACTGCTGTAGCCAAACCAGGTTCAAGAATTGTTTTCGGGGACGGATAATGTTTTGAACTATTCTGCGACAGATGATGTTTGGAACTATACATAAATTATGCTTGTAGCCATCAATGGAGGTCAGACAACATATTTATTCTTTGCTATAATTTACTTTTCCATTTAAGACCCAGGGTATGTAATAGTAAGCCAAAGAATAAGGAAACAAGGGAGAAGGCAAAGAAAAAAGGTACTGTAGTATAAAGAGAAACAAACCAAAATTTATCAACAAACAAAAAAAATATAAAAAACAAAAATGATAAAAAATTAGAAGCAAACAATAATAAGAAAAACCAAAAAAAAAAAAAAAAGACATTAAAGAAACAACCAAAATTTGTCAAACCAAAATGAAAAACAAAAACAAAACATAAAACAAAAAAGAGAGAGAACACAATCTGGCCTGTTCCAACCACAATGAAGATAACTGTGGTAGATAAGAAAATATGGACTGCACGATAGCTTTCATAAAGGCTACCGGCCTCCTGATATAAGTTTTCTGACAGAAAGTTCGAAGAAGAAAAAAATATAAAGGGGATTAACGCAAAATTTACCAAACCGAAACTGAGACAATAAAGAAACAACGAAAATACATAAAAAAAACAGTACAAAATGTCTTTTAAAAGTGAACGTAGAAGAATGTAAGGAAACAACAATTTACCAAACCAAAATTACAAACAGGGAAACTATTCAAACAGAGGACAAAGGACTGAACATAAAAAAACAAAAGTAAGCAAACAAGTGGGGAAAAAAAAAAATCAGGGAAAGGGGATATGACAAATGAAGTCAGCAGACAGAAGACACTCACATTATTGACATGCCGAATACGAAGCCCAAGTTTGCCATCCTGATCTTTGCAGAGAACCACCTCTCGGATTCCCTGTTTGATTTCTGCCCTGGCAAGGCCCAAATTGTTGCCTGTGATTGGTGCTACTTGTGTCTGTCCGGACTGGGTCTGTCGAAGCCCAACTTGCAAGCCCTAATTGTTGAACACAAAAATATAATTGAAAATATAATAATACAAAAAAGATTAGGCAACATTACTCTTCTTCTTCCTTGTTAGCCCTTAAAAGGGTGGTTGGCATGCTGTATTGTGGTTTTCAGCTAGATTGTGATATCAGCACCTTTTAGACTAACACATATGATTTCAGCAAACTCTAATTAGTCACCTCTTATGACATGCTTGTTGGGGACAGTGGATATATCCCCCCCCCCCTCCCACAATCTAGGCCCAAGAACCCACAATGTGAGAAATTCGGTTTCTTCACGTTTACTCTTTGTAAACTCCATCAAAAAGTTCTGGTTGTTAATCTTCTTTAGGTCTTTGGTCTTGTTCAAGAACTGAGTTTTGCATGCATATCTGTTTTACAGATCTGATGCCCGCCTCCTAGCCTAGTTGGCTAAACCTGGGTTTATCCCAGGGGGTAGGAAGAAACGCCTAATTTCTTCCAGATTTACAGTATTTATCATGGAATCAAGGCCGAAGGGTTACGATATCCATAGTACCAAGCCAAAGGGTTAAGAACTCATGGTATCTGGATATTAAAAAAAAAAAATACAGATCTGACATGTGTATGAGACTATTGGTTCCTTGCCTCTCAGGCTGATGCATTCCAACCAAAGAAAAATTCCCTAATTAGTTGCCTTTTATGACATGCTTAGTAGGTCTATTCTCAAATTCTGCCCTACATGGAGAGAAAGGTCATCCTGTAAATGACTGCAGCTGTAGAATCTGACTATTCACGGCCAAGTCTACGAATGTTTCTACTGAGTTGGGTGGGAGTCTATTGATCTATCTGGGAGCTGAAAAGGCACAAGAGGCCTCTTTTGAAAACAATACTAATAGCAATCTCTTTCTTTTGAAAACATGCCAAACCTGCTATCTACAGAGTGAAGGCAGAGTTTAATCAGTGAGGGGAAACCTACCACACATATCTAGCCCTTTTTTGACAGTACACAACGCTATGCAGTACCGACACCTGTTGAAACATAATTTTTTCCAGTGCTAATGTAATAGACACTTTGTGGTGAGTACCGGCACCTTTTATTTCTTCAAAACTCCGAGTTGGATATCTGCAACCTTTTTTTCTGACCAAAAAAAAAAAAAACAAAAACCTGCACTGATCTACATTTATTTGATGCTACATGATAGAGGAAATTCCTAAGAGGAGTGTAGATGACAGAGGCCAAACATGCTGGTCTGGAGTCCATTCATGATATTAAAACAAATGCAAAGCATAAAAGTTACAGGAGGAATTAACTTGCATTTCTTCTTAAAGCCCATGCAGTGTGGCTTTGGTAGTCATGTCTATCCACAACCTGTCTTGTGTAATTTCAATCAAATCTGACAAAAATGGTCCTCCATGCCTCTCAACTTGTCTCCCCTTCTCCCTCTGCCTCGCCTTCCCTCCAACTTTCCTACTGTCACGATATACTCCAGTTTTCTCCTTCTCATCACATGACCAAAGAATGCAGATCGTCACTTTCTGATGTGCGCAATCAGTTCTCTTTGTGTGTTTCTTTCCTCATTACTCTTTTAATCTGTCCAGGGTATTCTCATCACTCATCTTTATGACATGTAATAACAAAACTGGATGATGATGATGATGATGATGAGATAGAGAACAATGAACTGAATATGTTCACCAAAATCCATACTCATGATAAATAAACCCGTCAGCAAGGCACATGACGATGATGATGACGACGGCACACGATGATAAATGTGTGGCCTCTCACCTGCGATGGTACAACCTGCATCTCCTGCATCATCTCTGGTGTAATGTGTAAGCCCATGTAATCGTTCAGGGATGGGTACAGGGCCGGCCCTGGCTGGGTGGTGTAGGGAGCTGGGACTGCCTGTCCTGGGTGTGGGTACTGTAACTGGGCACCTCCGGTAATTGCACGTTCATGGCTGACCTGAGCCTGGAAGCACAGATTTAACTGATCAGATTGCAAGCTTTAAATTTTTCTTAAAATACTGTAGTATTGTGTATGTATGACGCCTCCATGAATAAGATGACCCCTATGTTTCTTAATATAAAATCAATAAATAAATATTTTAATCACATTATATGTGTGAGATGACCCCAAAATTCAAGAAAACATGGTATATTGAAATTAGTTTCTTCACGCTGTAACACTTTCATAAGATCATTGGGAAAAGTGACTAACTCTGCCCCGGTGTCCTCAAAATCTCCTCATAAGCATTCATTGGTGAAAACAAAAAAGCAGTATATCTTCTTCTCGACTTAAAGTTGAGTTTAATTTCTATTAACAGGTCGCAAGTCGAACTGGTCAATTTACATTTTCCAAATCTACTTTCCTCCAAACTGCGGTTCCAGACAGTCTGCCATTTGTAGTCGGGTCAAAGAGACTGACATCTAGACAATGCTGGACTCTGGGCATTCTTGACCCTACCAGCCTAGTTGTCTTTTATTAGTGACCATTTTTATTTACTTCTTTTTGCGTGGTAAAGTGAGGACATCGTAAATCACATAGGTCCAAGTCAAAGAGAGGATGCATACTGCTTGCTGATTTTTGTCAATCACTGCCATTTGTTGCATTCACTCACTCAATCAAAAATGTTAGTTAACTTATTCTGTCCTCTACTGTCATTCATTCACACCCAAACACTGAATGCTTTAAAGATATCTTGTAGCAATAAAAGGAAAGAAACAAAAGAAAAAAGAAATGTCCCAATTTAGAATTAAAATAAAAATTTTGAAAATATAAAAAATATCTTTAGCTTGGAGACAAAAATAATTTACTTATATTTGTACTTTCTCAAGCTCTAATATTTCGCATAATAACCTGACTTTGCATTAATCCACCATGACAATATTAAAATGATCTCACCGTATGAAGCTGGTCAACTTTCATATCTTCAAGGGTTGGATACAATCGTGACATTATGAACAGTTATTTATCTCTTTAATTTTCTGAAAGCAAAAAAAAAGAACAATACAAATAGTTTAATAAAAACACTTAAAGTCACATTAGGTGGCTTATGTATGCAACCCATTATAGTGAAGCATTTAGTAATTATTATCATTCATTTCAATCGACTGTCTCTAAATGACACTAACTTTTTCAATGGTGCAGATGTAGATTGAGATCCCTATTTACTGTACTGATAAGTAAAATTAAGCTGAAACTCAAGAGATACTAAAATGTTTAGAAACAGGAACCGTAATTCCACTTAGAATATTTTAGATAATAGGATCTATGGAAAAATATAGGCTGGTCTTTAATGAGTACCAGCCAGCAGATCCTGACTGAGTTAGAAAATGGCTGACTAGACCCAGTTAAGTTATTATAGTGAGGTTAGAGGAGTGTTGGCTGTTGATGTGATGGAAATACTTGTTAGTTTTCACATGAATACTGTACGTCTTTGACAACTGAGGTAAGGAAAATAGCTATATGGAGCCAATCCTGATATACAGAAGTTAATCTTGGACAGTTAGCAGAGGGAGACCGAGACAGAATAGTTTGACAGATTATGGCACGAAAGATTATCTTTCTTAAACAAATGAAAGTTTCATGGAAGATCTATGGTGCACACAAAAGAATGTAGCATTAGATTGAGCGGAAGAAATCTCTCAAATGAAAGTGCACAAGACAGAAGGCTGTGAGCAGACATGATTTTCAAAACAAATGAAAGTTAAGCTCCTAGGATTAGATCCTGTTATGGCATGAAAGATCATCTGTCTTAAACAAATGAAAGTGCACAAGACAGAAGTGTAGGATTAGATTGACACATTATGGCATGAAAGATCATCTGTCATAAACAAATGAAAGTGCACAAGACAGAAGATGTTGGATAGCTTGATATTATGGCACGGAAGATCATCTGTCATAAACAAATAAAAGTGCACAAGACAGAAGATGTTGGATAGCTTGATATTATGGCATGGAAGATCATCTGTCATAAACAAATGAAAGTGCACAAGACAGAAGATGTTGGATAGCTTGATATTATGGCACGGAAGATCATCTGTCTTAAACAAATGAAAGTGCACAAGACAGAAGTGTAGGATTAGATTGACACATTATGGCATGAAAGATCATCTGTCATAAACAAATGAAAGTGCACAAGACAGAAGTGTAGGATTAGATTGACACATTATGGCATGAAAGATCATCTGTCATAAACAAATGAAAGTGCACAAGACAGAAGATGTTGGATAGCTTGATATTATGGCACGGAAGATCATCTGTCATAAACAAATGAAAGTGCACAAGACAGAAGATGTTGGATAGCTTGATATTATGGCACGGAAGATCATCTGTCATAAACAAATAAAAGTGCACAAGACAGAAGATGTTGGATAGCTTGATATTATGGCATGGAAGATCATCTGTCATAAACAAATGAAAGTGCACAAGACAGAAGATGTTGGATAGCTTGATAATATGGCACGGAAGATCATCTGTCTTAAACAAATGAAAGTGCACAAGACAGAAGTGTAGGATTAGATTGACACATTATGGCATGAAAGATCATCTGTCATAAACAAATGAAAGTGCACAAGACAGAAGTGTAGGATTAGATTGACACATTATGGCATGAAAGATCATCTGTCATAAACAAACGAAAGTGCACAAGACAGAAGGCTGCGAGCACACATGATTTTCAAAGCTGTCAAGTTAAGCTCCTTCACATCCTGTTCACACATCCTACAACATGCCTGTTAAAGAGACAGTGAGTCTATCCCCCCCTCCCCCTACATGTGATGATACCCTTACATTAAAAACAGCTTTCAAGAATCTTCTTTTGCTATTTTCCCCTATCCACCTTTAAAAAAAACTTTCTACTTAACATTTTTTAGTTTTTATATTCTCATGATGTGACCAATAAAATGACTATTCTTTCAAATGTTTGTTATAGTTCTGCCTTCCGGTTTTAGCCTCGGGTAAAAACATTAAGACTACTTACAGGTGTCCATGGAATTTAATATTTTCACATAAGGATATGGAACATCTACAATTCTGACAGTCAAATTTTGCTGTGTTACAAACTAAAGCCATTAGCGGCAATAACAGTTGTAAAACAGCTAATTACACTCCTTTTAGGCTACAAACCCAGATGATGTTAAATGAACATTACATACATCCAAATAAATGAAATATAAATATCTGAACAAACTGTATATACTTATTAAAACGTATAGTTATACTGGTATAGTTAGACACTCCTTAAAACATTGAAACAAGAGAATGTAAGCATTTTTAAGTGAAAAACAAGCACTTTTCCAAACTAACATTATTGTATTTTGTCTCCTTGTGAAACACTGAGTCTGTTACTGTTACTGGAAAATCTTCACTCAAATATGAACAACTATCATGAACATCCTGTATATAAAGGCTGCTTGTTCGCGTAAAATGAAAGCAATGAGTCAGTACCTTGTGACAAGATGTACCAATGCAGGCTCTGATATGAATTAATGGATAGCGGAAAGCTTTTTATAGTAACTTAGGTCATGTGACTTCGTGCGTCAGAACGTAATTACCCAGCGATCCAGGATCTGCCCCTCAATATTACAGGCCGGGGTTCTGTGTCAACACAATCACAACATACATACATAGCACTAGTGGTCCAGCCTGACAGTGACGAAGGACTTCTGCATCGCTAGCAGCGATTGACACACAATTGATGACAATATACTTTCATTACACACTGAATTCAAACAGTGGAAGATGCAAATGCAAGTTATGCGTCGATTAATGACAAGTTAAGAGGAGAAAAGGCGAGATAAGAGAGTAAAATGTCTTACATTCAACGACAAGTGGTTCTCGCCTTGTCTGCTGCTAGATTCTTCCCCGTCTGCCAGGCTGTCTATTTATAGCCTTATGTAGTCATATGGATTTTTTTTTCTCTAAAGCTGAAATCTTACACAGATAAATAAATACAGATGTAACATTTAGTAAATCACAGAATATGAATATATGTCAATAATATGTGGTTGAATAATGTTTTTACTTTAAATTTTCATTTTTGATCGTTGTTGGGAAAAAAGTTAAACAATCGTTTTAATCGTTGAATACAAAAATGCCAGGTTGCCGTTTATGAGCCAAATATGATATGGTTTAGTCCAGTTACACTTATGCGATTGAGAGGTTAATGATTACTACCTATCTTTAAGATATTACCAACTGTTGTTCGATAATCACAGAACACTCGTATACACACATCATGTGTGTAAATCCATTAAGGTGTGTGTTATGTGTATGTTTAGGTCCTCATTATATAAGTGTAGCCAGGCTCTTTGCCGGTTAAAAAAAAAAATACGGGCCAGAAATGGGGGAGGCTGTGGGTCTGAGCACAATGCCTAAATTAAAAAAAAAATTCTTCGAGCGCCTAGGCACCACCTGACCTAACCCCCCCCCCCCACAAAAGTATAATATTTATTTGCCACTGAGCACATGTATATCATCATCATAAGCGGCGTGGAGAGGAATAATTTGCGATCCAGTGCACGTTGGCTGCCACTGGCTATTGTCATGCCGTGAAGGCGTAAAGTGTCTTTAATGTTGTCGATCCACGTTTTTTCGCGGGCTTCCTCTGGCTTTTGTAGCTTATTTTATGTATATTATTATTATTATTATTTTTATTATTGTGCTGAAAGGCACACAAATATGATGATATACTTGAAATAATATGAAATAAACATACACTTTAAAAAAATGTCAATGAAAGGTTAACGGGGGTTTTTAAGTGGCCGAGAGATTTCAATTGTCTCTCTTTTTTCTGTCAGTGTCTCTTTTCATAAGCAGTCTCTATAGACAGCTTTCTTTTTCATGTCGTCTGTTGTCAGTACACGTGTACTTGTTTAATATATATTCAGACAAAAAGAAAGATGTGCAGTAAATGTGGAGCCGACAAAATGAGAGACATTATCCTGGGTGATCTAAGATCATCATCATCATGTAGCAGGTCCTTTGCAGAACGTCGCTCTCATCGCAGTCTGCCTGAAAGAAACTCGGTCTCTCGCCAGCTCTCCCGCCTCATGTACTTTCATACTCAAGGAGTCACTTATATCCTAAGCCCATCTTCGTGTGGGTCGGCCCCTGCCTCTCCTTCCTGGTATCATGCCTTCTCCTATAATTTTTTCCAATCCATCGTGGCTCTTGATATTACCAAAATATTTCATCTCCCGAGACAGGGTGCTGTTTATTAGCCATTCTTCCTTGATGTTCAGATCTGTCAAGATGTCAGTATTTCTCCTCTTCTTTATCCAAGATATTCTGAGAATCTGATATAAGATAGCGACATGAAATAATATCACCAATAGAACAGATCTAGAAAACCGGTAACTTATGTCTTTGGAGAGATATGAAAGTATTTGACACATCACAGCGAACTAGCCATGCATGTCGTAAGAGGTGACTAACAATGATAGAGGTGATACCTGATGCCTCATCTTTTAAAATCACTGTAGGGCAAAAGATGATATCAAGCAGGTCTGCAGCCCTACAGACACCAGTCTAGAGAGAAAGGGACACCTGTGCCTCCATTGCTTAACTTAACTGCACCTTCTTCTGTCTTGCTACGCGTGATATGAATTGTCGGGATCAAAATCGCGCTGTTATCAATGCAGAAGTCCACGCGCTTATCGATGACAATTCAGATGATGTAGTTGTGTTGATATATACAAACTTCTCTTTCGTATAAAGATAAACACAAATATATAGATGTATTGTCCTCTTGTGTTCAAAATGAGAAACAGTATATGAATCTAATTTTCGCATAGAAGTGATTAAACAAGTCTTGTACATCTATTATCGGGGGGGGGGGGGGGGGGGGTGGGGTGTGGGGGGGGGGGGGGTGGGGTGTGGGGGGGGGGGGGAGAACTGCATATTCATCAGGAACACATTAATAGACAGCGTCATAGATAAGAGCAGCAATGTTACAGAAAGGCTGTTTGTTTCACTAATCACACTGACTACTATCTGCATCTAGATTATGATAAGACAGCAACTCCCAGTACAGATAGAATTATATTAAACTGAAAGGGTTTCAAAACTGTAGCAACACTCTTCTCATTGTCTACAAAGGAGGAAAAGTTTACATTAAAATTCAACAATGATGCTGTTCCACGCTCCAATACTCCAACCTTCCTGGGAGTCAAGCTTGACAGTCGTCTGACATGGAAACATCACATACTAGAAACTAACAAAAAAGCCATGAGAAAACAAGGTGTGATGAAGAAATTGGCAGGCACCACTTGGGGAGCAGACAGTTGTATCTTGAAGCAGGTATACACCGGCACAGTCAGACCAACTCTCGAATACGCATCATCGTCATGGATAACAGCAGCCCATTCCAATAAACAGATACTAGACAAAACGCAAAATAGAAGTCTGCGTACAATTCTGGGAGCCATAAAATCTACACCTATTGTAGAAATGGAAAAGGCAGCCAACATCATCCCCTTAGAAGAAAGAAGAAGGACAAAAGCAATTCTACATGCTGAAAAAAAAATGAAGAGAATGCTAAACCACCCATTACACGAAAAATTGGCAGCAAGGACAAAAAAACAGAATAAAGCGCACAAGCCTAAACCATCTAACGAAGGAATTTGGAAAGTCATTCTCTTCACTACTTAACCAACAACGTACACCTGAAGAGCTATCTTTCGATCTCTGGGACTCCAAATTATTGACACTCAATGTGTCAACATCCATCCCGAACCTGGGAAACAAAGATGCTGAGCCCGCTTTAGTGAAGAAAGCACTCACAATAGAACACCTCAACAACATGTTCCCACAGGACAGCTGGACAAGAATCTACACGGATGGATCAGCAAAAGAAGCAACTACGAATGGTGGGGCAGGTGTCTACATAAAACACCCAGATGCCACTACTGTGTCCCTAGCAGCCCCCACCGGACGTACTTGCTCTAACTACAAGGCAGAACTCTCAGCTCTATTGATGGCAGCACAGTATATGAACAATCTGCAAATCACCGCAGGCAGGATAGTTTTTCTCACTGACTCACTGTCAGCTGTACAGGCCCTTGAGTCCAAACCTACCGACAGCACACTACAAAGTATAACACAGGAACTTGCTATGTTGTCAAATAAGGCAGAAATTCACTTGCAGTGGATTCCGTCTCACTGTGGCATCAAAGGCAATGAAAGCGCAGATGCTTTAGCCAAGGAAGGCAGTAACAAACTACAGACCTACCAGCCACTATCTTTTCCAGAAGTCAAAAACTCTCATTAAGAGAAAATCAGAAACAGACTGGAAAAACAACACTGGTTATGACTACGGAAAAGATTTTCTGAGGCACTTGAACAGAACAGACCAAGTCACAGTTTTTCGCTTACGCACTGGACACTGCAGACTCAATAAAACACTCATATAAATTAGGTATGAGCCAAACAGCTCTCTGCCAGTGTCTTCGTGCTGAACAGACTCCAGAACATGTCCTGCAAGACTGTCCTCTCCTGGCGGAGCTGCGGAGCGACATATGGCAACACCCAGTAGAACTGACAACTAAGCTTTGGGGAAACCTAAGAGACCTTGAAAAGACATCCCAGTTTATGACCCACAGTGGATTATGCGCATGACCAGAGATCGCTGAAGAAGAAGAAGTAAGGGTTTGGTAATGTTCTGGACTTATTTGACGAAACCTTTTCATGATCAACACATGAAATCAGTTCCAAGATTAATTTAACATATTTGATGGAGGTTATTTTAATTATATTTACAAATACACCAGGAAAAGCTAAATAAATAAACAAATACAGCAATTATAACCCTGCTAACGCCCCTCTTACAGCATGAAACAATCCCAATCAGCACAAAGAGACATCTTATTCAAAGCATATTTATTCCAACTCTGTGCTACCAGTGCCAGACATGGTCACTCACAACAAACCATAAAAGAAAATTAGTAACCATGGAAATGAGATGTCTGAGAAGGGCTGTATGAGTGACCATAAGAGATAAGACCAGGAATGAGATCATAAGAGAAAAAGTCGGCACAGAACCAATTTATGGATTACATACGAAGAGAGCAAGTGAAATGGTTTGCCCACTTAGAGAGAATGCCTTGTGACACCATACCATACAAAGCATACATGGAAAGAGAAGAAGGACGTAGAGCACGAGGTAGACCAAGAACAACATGGAAAGATAACATCAGAGAAACTCTACAACAGCACGATGTGCCTATGGTCGAGGCGGCCAGAAGAGCTAGAAACAGAACCTTATATCTCCCTCGACACCCACAGCGGTAAAAGAGGAAGTGAAGAAGAAGAAGATAACCCTGCTCTTTTAGTAGAAACCCAGTTGAAATACAATGTACTGAAATAATACACACCTTTAAGTTAAGCAGCTGTTGTAGACGAAGACCTGCTATGTGATAGGCCAACACCCCAACAGTCTTCTTCTTCTTCTTCTATAGTATAGCCTTGTTCTGTCTTTCAGGGTCAGGTTTTGAAGAGGCGATGGGCTCGAGCCTTAGTATGTGCTACGTAGATGCTGGTGTTTGCATGCTCGGATATTCCATCTATTCATCGCTTGCGTGGCCGACCTCTAGTTTACTTCTATTATGTCCAAGTGACGTGGTTCTCTGTGATACCCTATCTAGTGGTAGTCTTGACACGATCCAGACCAGTTGTCTCTTGATATAGTTTAGTATTGATTCCGTCCCAACTTCTTTCCTGACATTGTCTTTTTGACCCTGCCCTTTCTTGCTACAACATGTCCCATGCGTAGACATTCAAGAATGCATCTAACCTACCATTTTTTATAATGAGATTTAAAAATATATCAGGTATGTCGGCCGGTATCCCCCATACTAATAGGACAGCGGTCTTCACAGCAAGTCAGAAGGTAGTACCAAAAAAAAAAAAAAAAAACCCATATATGCAAGAGGAAGTGAGAAACAATCGTATCGTCCTGAATGATAAAAAGACATACATAATAGTAATTACAGGGTTTATTTATCGACCCGAATGATAAAAAGACAGGCATAATAGTAATAACAAGGTTATAGTTTAATGCTTTTTAACTGCACCAAGTACAGAAAGTCGGCGTCTGTGACTTAGGCGTTGCGTAATTCCAAGGTACCGATTCAATTCCAGTTGCAGGCAACTTGGCAGCAGACCGCCGTAAGTTGATTTTGACAATGGTATCGAAAGAGCCAACCGTTAAGTGAGCAATGGCAAACTACTGATTGTAAAAAATGCCTAGCAATAAGCCCCTTTGAAAAAAGGTGATGAGGTTTTTCTACAACGTCCTGCAAACATATGAAAACACCACCCTCTATTTCTTCTGCTGTTTGTTACAAAGAATGTACTGTGATATATAAAGGTAAAAAATATAAATGTTGTGGTAAAGAATATAAAAACAAAGAAGAAAACCCGCGGAAATCTGGATTGCAGATTTGGACATGACCTTTCACCGGAAGTCAACGACAGACAGTGGCTGAAATGGCCACCAAAACAGACGAGAAATCCAAACTAGATCGTTTCCAGCATCACAGAAGTGCTAGTGACCCTAAACCTTGCCTAGATTCACTCTCAATCCCTGGGGACAGTTCAGGTAAGCTTTTGACTGTGTTATGAACAATAGTTAGCTAATATATACTCCTAGTAGTTAACCGTTTCCAGGTTGTCTCTAACGTCTCTGTGAGTGACCTGCACCAAGAGTGAGCGACACTTCCTCTTTCTTCTACCTTAGTATGTTATCGGATTATGATAACTTTTACGTAATCGCTTTATTTAGTTGCTTTCAGTATGGTCTACCCTTTAATCTTTTGTAGGGAGGATCTGTAAGGAACTATTATACTTATACTGTCAGATTAATCAGAGATAACGGATCATATTAATATCAAAAGGTTATTTTGAATTGATTTGATTCAAGAACCGGCATCACAGTACTCGGGGCATTCCCATAAGCGCTCCGTCCCCATCTTCAGCAGCCAGCGAAGAGTTCCGATACTAATGGTGACAGTAGCATTCTGATTAAACTTCCGTCTTGCCTTTACTCTGAGCCTCGAGCATCTGCCAAAACCTCTCGTCACTCCTCCCTGCATCAATCTCACCAGATTGTGGTGATCCATCTGTTCCTCTGAACTGTACACGCTCTTCCACAAGGCACTAACCACGTTTACCTTATCATGCATCAGTATTTCACCAAGTTGTCCAGAGCCAGCCTGTCCTGATCTTCCTCAGCATGCTTTCTGAGTCAGTTACAATTTTGAATTAAGTAATAATAATAATATTATGACTTATGACAAACCATTTATAATAGTATTAATTGTTAATATAACAGTAAAAATACTTTAAGTTAACTGTTAGTTGCATTATGGTGAGTCTGTTATTTTATAGTAATTTAACAAGTCTGTATAACATGAATGGTGATTCTAGATAGCTACTTCATTAAATAGAAAAAAAAGCAGCTGTAATGCATAATAAAATGCTTCTTTCTATTTCTTATTCTCAGATGGAGCTGCAGGAGACAGTTCTTCATGGGCAGCAGGTTCAACCACAACACCAAGGCCAGGAAAAGGGAAGCTGATGAAGGAAGGTGAGTACATACACAAACCGATAACTTGTCTGCGTCGATTAAAGTATTTACCTGCATGTGCATTTATTAAACCCAGGGGCTGCTGTTCTGTTTTTTTTTCTGGGTATTCATCAGCTATAAACTGTGCAGAAAGTTCTGGTTATTTATCCACTTCTGGACTTTAGTCTTGTGCCAGAACTTGAGGTTTGCTTTGCGTGTACATGTTTGATAGATTAGGCTGAGATGGCAAAATCTCAGTCTGGAGGGCAGACTCAGATAACTCGTTCAGTATAGAACATAGATTTAATTGGACACCTGTTAAGCCTCTGCCATAAACTGGTGTAGCTTTCAGTCCTGTGTGGGTAAGGAAGATAACGGAGTGGTTGCCAGAGTGGCGGTATCATCTTCAGGTGTGTTGGAAAGATCCTTGTTTTTTTTATCACGAATACAGTGTGTGTTTGTGTGTGTACAGAACACAAGGTATCACGAATACAGTGTGTGTTTGTGTGTGTACAGAACACAAGGTATGCCTCATAGGACATGTGGAATAAGTGCTTGTCTTGCTTGTTGAGAACCACTGTTCTTATTTAGCAACACAAATCTATTTGAAGATGTTAAGATTACAGTAATTTTACAGGAAACAATTTCCCCAAAAATTGGGTTACAGTCTGTTGACAGTGAAATACCTACAAACTGCATAAGAAACAGTGAATGATCCAGGAATTGACGTTGTTGCACTTCAGGCATTCCTATACTTACTGTGTCCTCCTTTTCTGTAGCCAGTGAAGAGTTCCAATACTGTTGGTGCCTACTGCAACCTGATTTAAAGTCCGCCTGACCTTTACCCTGCGTGTTAAAAACTGCCCAGACTTTCTGCCTACTCTTTGCTGAAATAGAAGCAGAATTTTCATTAACAGAGTAGTCTTAATCATGGCTTCAGATCAGATCACATGCTTTCCATTTCCTCCAGTCTGTTTGAAAATTAACAAATGCTAAGACTGAATTATATTGTAAATATCCACTTGAGGGTTTCCAGCCCTATTTTGGGGGGAAAAGGATAGACCATGTTGTTATAGTCGACTAATTTGGAATATTTCCTGTTTAGGCGGAGTACATCTGCCTGAGAGGCAAGGAACCAACACTCTGCATTCAGATAAACCAGATGTGTAAAATGGATGTGCACGCAAAACTCAGGTTTTATAACAAGACTTAAGTCGAGAAGTGGATGAACGAGAACTGTCCGCATGAGTTTACAGCCGGTGAATGTGAATCAGAAAACAAAGATATAAATAGAATCTGCAAATATTTATCAAACAAAAGTGCCATATTTGGAGTTAACCTCCATTTACTGTACTATTTCATAAAGGAGCCAGGTCACTTATGGGTTTGTCTAAAGTACCTTGATGTCACTTGTTTTAACAAATGAATCATGGTTATTTCCTTGGCCAGTTGAAATACATTGTCTGTTTATAGCATATGGTTTTTTTAAAAAGTGATATCATTTTTGAGATGTATGTAAATCTAAGTTTTGTTTGTGTACTGTCATATATCCAGCTTGCTAAAATGGTTGCTTTTCTGTTCATGTGCTATAATTCACAGTGCAGACACCCTTGGCCAATGGTTTCAGATCTTCATGGAGGCAAATTTTTCAAATTGAATTAGGCACTAAGATTGTCTCAGTAGAATGGGTATCAGGAAATGTTCTGGAAGATAAAGGTGGTTGGCGTAATATTGACCTTGTGTTTTGAATGCTGATTGGTTTTCAGAAGTACAGAGCTAGCACCAACCACTTAAAATTAGAAGTCTTTTTTATTTTTGTCAAAGAAACAGTTCCATTTCGCCCTACACACAAAAAGTGGGATGTAACTCTTGCTTGAATAGTAGTAACAGAAATATAGTTACTTCCCTTATATCAACATTTGTTTTTTAATATGTGCTGTGGTTCCTGTTGTCAAAAGCATTTTGGGTGGTGTCCTAGCATGTAAGGAGTATTCTTCTTCTTCGCGTTCACTAGCTGTAAACTCTGGCGGAAAGTTCTGGTTGTTCATCCACTTTTGGACTGCAGTCCTGTCCCAAAACCTGAGTGTTGCGTGTGCATCCGTTTTACAGATCTGACTCATTTGTATGCAAACTGCTGGTTCCTTGCCTCTCAAGCAGATGCACTCCGACTTTGAAGGAAACTCCCAATTAGTCGACTCTTACGACATGCTTTTGGGTAGGCAATGGGTCTATTCCTGTATTCCCTATAATAGGGCCCCGGAACCAACACAGGGATAAGGAGTATTGTGCTATGCATACCAACAAGGCAGATTCCAGATACCACATTCAGTCAGGCTCGATCTGGCTGTCAGAGGCCTAGCAAATGGCCCACAGATTACCCACCAATTATATTGTATGAATGATCTTTCTGTGCTTGGGCTCAGGACTTTGGCCTGCGATGATCCAAGTTTTCCACATGTTGGCCCCTGATTAGTTAGTTGAACAGCCCTGTTACCAGGAAGGCTAACCTATGCAAACAATGCCTGCTGAAGTCAGATGTGTCTGCCGAAGGGCGCAAATATGGCAGCAGTGTTGTAAACGGGCACAACACATTGATATCTTTGGATGAACACAGAAGAAGAATAGCCATGTTTTACTAGGTGCCCTATAGAAGCTCCACTTCGGTTGACATTTTAAAAGTATCATATTGCGTCCTGAAAGTTGTGTAGTTTGTTATGTGTAAGCATGAAGCAGAGTAATTTATGGAGCACTCTGTAATTAGGGTACGTGTAATGGTGTGGGTAAGCCTGTGTGGGTAAGCCTGTGTGGGTAAGGGTGCACCTCCCTGTTCTTTTATACTGGTTTTGTCAAGCCTGATCGACCCTGGTGTGACATGACCATAAAACAAGATACTTCTGCTTCTTCACATTCACCAGCTGTAAACTCTTGCATACAGTTTTAGTTGTTCGTCCACTTCTGGATTTTAGTCTTGTTTCGGAACTTCAGTTTTGTGTGCACATCCGTTTTACAGTCTTGCTTATATGTATGGCATACTGATGATTCCTTGCCTTTCATGCAGATGAACTCTAGCTAACTTAATTAGTCAACTTTTACAAACATGCTTTTTAAGGAAGCAGTGGTTCTGTTCTTTTGAGGAAAACAATACAACCCCGATGGGGGCAAGGGTTGAACCCAAGACCTCCATGGCTACAGGAGAATGCAGCTGCTACTATAATGTGGATTTAATATCATCTTTAGTCATCTTTCACATATTGCCTTGTTGTCTGTATTGGCAACTCTCTTTTCCAAACATGTGCTTGTTTGATAGATCTATGTGTGTGTAAATAAGACAAGGTAAAGGACCCTAGGGAGTAGCCGTGGCATTGGTGGCTAGTGCCCCCCTGCGGACCAGAAGGGTGTGGGTTCGCATCCTGACGGCGCCAGACTTTTTAAAAAAAAATGTCAACTCCCAGGTCGACCCAGCCTTGATCGGGTACCAGGTGCAGTCCTGGGAAGTAAAGGTGACCCTCGTGATGCTGACCACATCACCCACCAAGTGCCGAATGGTCTATTAAAATATAGGTCTAGCCCTATATGCCCAATACGCCTGAAGGCGTGGACAAGGGACCTTTAAAGGACCATACCCATATTTGTATACACAACTGAGCACTTAGTGAGATAGGTGCCCGGCTCAGACTCTCCGCAGTGGCTGCCCCAGACTCTCTCCGCAGTGGCTGCCCCACTCTCTCCGCAGAACGGACAGCCGCCAGCTGAGGGCGGCGCACAAAACATGAACTCGTCAGCTCCGCTGACGATCCCTGGGATCTCCCTTAGGAATTGTATTCGTGAATCGAACGACGCATTCCGTGAAACGAACCCGCGACCTTTATATCAGAGCCTGGGGCAGACGATTGTCAACCCCCCTCCCCCCCTAAGTTATTACAATGAAAAGAGCAAAGACTATAAACAGCCCTACTGTCACATCTCAATGGAGACTTCCTTACCTGTTAAGCTAGCTGGCCAGAGAAATCACGGCGAGATCGACCATTGTCTATACAACTGAGTTTTAGAACCCAAGGAATGTTGTTATTTACTGCGGCCCGTGCTTCTTCCCTCCCCCCTCCTGGCCTGTTTACTGTTACTGACCTACTTACTACACCTCTCCCTGACCAGAAGGTGGTCCGAGCGTTGCTAAAAGATAAAACCCTCTCTTTTGGATCCCCTCCCCCTCCTTTCCAACAGGTGGGTTGGGGGAAAGCGAGATCGGTTCGGGCACAAAGATGTATTTATTTAACGTAGAAAAGCCAGCTTTGGAGTTGTTAGCCTTGTAGCGAGTCGGTGTTGTGTGTGCTCGTTGTTGGCAGACCAGGCTGTGGATATAGTTTCAGCGTGGCATGTGAGTGGTCGGACTCGGGTGTATCTAGTGCTTGGATTTATTTCTGTTCGAAAGCTGACTGCTGTATCTTAGGAAAATTTAACTCTAGTAGGTACACCACTTAATATTATTTCCACACATCTCGTGTCTACTTCTATGTAATTTAACAGGTACGGTACCGACAGTTTAGTGTGTTTGCGCGTCTTCCTCGGAGAAACAGACTCTAAAGCGTATCATCATCATCATCCTTCATGTGTCGTTAGACGTCACATAGGGCAAGCATTCGATTCCTCCACGCCGCTCAATTCCACGCAACTTTCTCGATTTCTGACACGGAGTTCAGCCCAGCATTTTTCGCCTCTCGTAATCATGTTCGTCTTATTGTTAACTTTAGACGTCCCTTTTCTCAGACCGTTCGTTTCCATTTTAGTGCTTGTTTTGAAATTCTTCGCTTATTTTGTCTCATGCCCAGTATATCATATCTACACCTTCTTTGTCTTATTGCAGTGGATAACAATATTTGATACCTTTTTCTGATCTCCTCACTTCTAGTTATTCTGTCAGCATACACACTGGGCACTCTTGCGAATACTGTACCAAATTGTTCACTGCTTTGTGAATTTAACAGGCTTAAAAACGGAAAATGAGGAATTGTAGACTTGATTAC